ACCTACTTTTCTGAAAGCCTCTTGCTTCCCCAACTGCGAATCTCGGGGGCAAACAAGAGTGGAGGAGGAGATCTGGCATTCTTGGTGCCCAGAGGGTTTTTGACTAGCGCCTACTTTTCTGAAAGCCTCTTGCTTCCAACAGCAAGCGGAAAGGATTTTGCATTGCAAGGTGAGATGCAGCTGGACCCGCTGGGTGGGGCCTTACAAAGCAGGGGCCCAAAGCGGCGATGAGCCTGTAGGTGATGAATGCGGGATGCTCTGGAAAGCGCTGCTTCCTCGGTCTGATGGCAAGTGCTCAGCAGTTTTTAGCATGAGGGGTTGTGTCCTGGAACAGATTTGTTCCAGTTTCAGGAGAAATCCCTTTGCAAGGGCATAGTTCAAGTGTGGCCCTCGGTCTGTGTAAGAGCTAGCAGAAGAGATTTCTTTTTCATCGTAGCTTCAAGGGAAAATGTACCCTCGTGCTAGGGGCACTGCAGCCATCCAAGAATAGAGTACTCGTGCATGCCTGGCCACCTAGGGTGGACAGGAATATTGGTATTAAAAGTTTTAAAAATGTCTGCTTCCATCAAGATTTCAGCCACGGTATTTATGCAGTCCAAGTCATAGGTTTTAGAGCTTTTCTGTGCTTTTGATATTCACCGACAGATGATCAGCAGTGATGCTTGAAGGGCTGCAATTTGGCAGCTTCCCCCCTTCTGGCTCTCCCCTGGGGCTGCTTCCAGCTCGCCTCCCTACGCCCTCCTCTGCTGCCTGCTCATGCTGCAGATCCACCGCTTCCACACGGTGATTTGGGGCAGGCAGGAGCCCCCTCAGCGACACTCCTGGGGCGGGGGTCCCTATTGCCTCCTCCTCGCTGCTGCTCTGCAAACAGGCGCAGAGGCTGAGGAAGGAAATGTCAGGGCAGGAGGCTCCTGGAGGAGACGGAGAGAAAGGGCAGCAGATGCTGAAGTCATTATAAGAGCAGACGCAGGGCAATAATGACATTCCAGAAAGGCCTCTTTCTAGCCGAGTAGACACATTATTTGTCGTATCAAACTGGAGGCTGCCTTTAGCTAGGCAACGCGCTAAAGTGGTGAGTCTTGAAGTTGTAATTGCTGGAGCAGCATATTTGAGCATAGCAATAAATTGACTGGCTTATTAGCAGTATTTAAAAATGATCTTCCATCTTTATTTGCAAAAGCCCATAAATGGTGAATTATGGAAAAAGCCTGCAAAAAACAGCTGCAAATGATTAGACAAAACAATAAAAGCAGTTACTTGCGTTCTTTCTTTTCTGTTTGCATGTCCATTAGAAATATTTCCTCGACTTGCTGTTAGTATGGCAGAGGTTATTTTTGGGACAAGCCCTCTGTAAATTATCTGAGAACAAAACCAAACCTGCCCCTGCTTGATATGTATCAAGCGCATCAATGTAGGAAACATGTGCTGTGTGGTCTGCCTTGTGTCCTGGTAATTGCTGAAGAAAATCTGGATGTAGGTGGGCTGTTTGCCCAGACACCGGAAGGAGCACAGGAATCCCTAAATGTGTGAAGCAGGAGAAAAGTATGTGCAATCTCCCCACATGCAATTGTGTCACTCGGGGACAAGCCGTGTGCTGGGAATGACCTGGCAGAGCCCAGATGTGGACAAGGTGACTGGTCATGGCTGGGTTGCCTCCCTGCTCAGGCTCTGCAGCTATTCCCTGCTCCCACCCTGGCCAAGCTCCCTCCTGCAGCTGCTGGTCAGGAAGCTGCAGCCTCCCCACGCTGCCGTTTCCAAGCAGGGCTCTTTCCTGTGATTAGAAACCGTGTGCTGGGGAAGGGCGAGCTGAGGCTGCAGCAGAAGCTGGGAATTAAATGTGCTGATGGGCAGCTTGGGAGGAGGGGATGTTCCTGCCGCTCTGCCTGTGAGTCACTGTGCCCTGGGATTGAAAGGAAAATTAAGGGGTCAAGACAGCTCAGGGAGAAGAGGGGAACAGATGCTGAAGAGAAGCTATTGCTGGGCAGGGCGGTAAGGGAAGCGGATGGAATCACCAGGAGAGCACGCGTTAATCAAAATTAAGCCAGTGATTAGCAGTCAGGCTGAAAAATGTGATTTCTTTCACCACAATTGCTGAGAAAATAGCACTGGGCTAGAAGGAGTTTCACTGTAATTTTCACAAATGAGAGCAGAAGGGGAAAAAAAAAACAGGGTGGACATGAAGAAACAGAGAGATGTATGTTGAATGGGGAGGTCCACGGGTGGAAATCAGGTCTCTGCTGTTCGAGTCAGACTTAGCTGCGTTCGGGAGGTGTTAGCAGCCCCTGTGGGAACACGCTGGCGCGGGTGGCTGCTGCGAGGGGAGGCCCCGCGTGGTCCCCGCAGGCCAGGCCAGGCCTGGGGCGGGGGGAGCGCCCTGGCCCCGTGGGAGGGAGAGCTCTGCGTGGGCGCAGGCGCAGCGGCTCGCCGCTCCTCGCTCTGTCCTGCCTGGCTGGCAGGGAGACTCCTGTGCTGCCATGGGCAAGGAAAGCACCTCGCCCTCCCTGCTGCAAACGCGTTAAAGCTTCACAAGAAAATGTTTCTAATATGACTTAGACTTCTTGTGGCTTCTCACAAGTGACAGCATTTTTTTTTTCCTGAGCATTTCTACGTTGCCTGTTGTGAAAGATTTCAGCCTCTGCAGTTCTCAATTGCGGTGAAGCGCTAAGCAACAGAAACAAGGGCCTAATGCGATGAAACGCGTGCGGTAGCTTTAGCCATGCCCATGTCAGCAGCTTTCTTCTGCTGCTAAACCCCGAGCGCGCGTCCTGTCCCAGGAGGCTTCACTAATATCCTCGAGGGTTTTTCTTTCCTGGGCACGGGGCTCATGCCGTGACTCACCCCTCCTCACAGCGTCAGCGGGTCCAGCTGAGCGCAGCCGGCGCGCAGCGTGACCGAGCGCTTGGTGCTCGTACCCGCTCCATTCCTGGTCATGTCGGCTGTCCTCTGGGCAAAACCCCAGCAGGAGAATGTGGGTGGCCGTGGCCTGTGTTTTGAGGCAACTCATAGATCCGTAGAGCTTCTTGGGATAAACAAACCCAAGCTAGGCTTTCTTTTATGGCTGGATTTTTGATCAAACTTTTAATAAAGCATTGACAAAATGTAGGTGGAGAGCTGGGACTCGGTAGTAGATTGTCCTCATCTCCTCCAGTGAACTTCATTGTAAAACTTAATGTCACTTTTTTTTTTCCCCCCTCCACGTGCAATTTTTAATTAAAAACGTTGTGTTGAAGAGGTCAGGCTGGCCTGACTCTCTGCTGCCCACACACCGCTGGCCCGGCAGCAGTGAAAGGAAGAAGTAGTAAACAAAATTCATGCCAGATTGAAAAGAAAGCCAAGAGAAAGTCACAGCCAGCAGTGAGTGGAGCCCGCGCCTGGCCTGCAGCACAGGCGTACGCTTGCCTCGGTCAGCAAATCCTCACGGGCTTCCTTGCAGGCACACGGAGCTGCTTATCTTACCTGCCTCCTCATCTCACCCTCTTTAGTACCACTTCATCTGCTTTGCCTCAAAGTTGCAATCTAATTTTTGAGTTTTGTGTGCAATGTGCTTTTGTGTCTCTAATTTATCAGTGCCAAAAGATCCTCAGATGTGACAAGACCTACTTCATTTTACTCTATGAAATCATGTATTTGTGATAAGCTTTGAATTGCCCATCTTCTCTAGGGCTAAAATGTGGACACTGCAACTACATTTGAGGTAGGCTCTTTTGCTTCTTTTCAGAGATAATTCACTTTTGCTTGTGGTGCTGTTGTAATCCACAGTAATTTTTACAGATTCAGTGGAAAGTTCTGAACACAAATTCTGGCTTGTTTATGCTGTGGAAGTCTGAAGTGAGGCCCAGACCAAGAAATGTTATGGGAGCAAGGCAAGGGGTGTAGTTGTTACCACATACCTGTCATTAGGGTATTAGCATCTTCTGGATTCAACACTAAGGTGATTTTTTTTTCCACTTTGGAAATCTGAAAACACAAACTGCCCTAAGAAGCCAATCAATTTTGACTGTTGATTTCTACTTTCAAAATGAAATGTTATGAAATACATTTGACAAGACAGAGATTTTTTCACAAAATCTATGACTGGCTCAGACCTAGAATTTTATTCAATCCATTCAAAAAATAGACAGAACTATAAGGTGGCACATATTGTTGGAGAATACAAATGTCACATCTCTCATATGGTTTAATTTAAATCCATAGATTAAGACAGTGAAGTAATTGCCCCAGGTGACAAAGGAATTAAGGTTCTTCAGTGAAAGGACAAGTCTTCAGGTAAGCATTTGCACAAATGTTATCTGATTAAGCATAACTTTCTATTACCTATAAAAATATAAACAGCATTTCAAAATGTCCGTCTTTAAATATGTTAAGGTCATCTAACATGAGAATAATATACTGACAGAATACGGGGCCTGGGCATGTCAAATGACAATAATCCACATCCTGTCAAAACCAAAACAATGTTTTATGAGGCTCAAACACAGTGTAATGAGGCAACCAATATCAAACCTCCCATATGAATTCCTTTTATTTTTTTATTTTTTTTGCTAATGTAGCAATGATTAAAAGCAAAGTAACAGAGTAATGTCACTGGCCTGGGAAGGTGCTCAGACCAAGGGCAACCCAACATCACATCTGTGCTACCTGCACGTTATTACTTTGCTACGGGTGACAAACAAGATGGGAGGATGAGTGCAAGTTACAAGGGCAGAACCTCAGCTTCCTGGACAGCACAGCCAGGAAGTAAAAGTAAGACCAAACAATATTTTCAAAGCACAACGAAACCAAAACAAGAAGGCCAACTTATAGGAAGAGTGGGATGCAGGCTGCCCCAGTACAGCTGTTGCAACCACCTATTTTCTAGGGTTACGGTCTGATACGCTAAATGGCTAATCACGGTTGCAAGGATTCCTTGGTTCAACATAGATGAAAATGTTTGACCACACTGAACACACTGGTCACAGCTCTAACTGTATAATTTCACTTCTTCCAACCCTAAACTTGTGTTGGAGCAGGTTCTCAGTCAGCTGTATGCTCGTATAGCAGTGCACTTGATGTAATTACTAGCATGGATGCCAACAACAGCTGATATTTTCCGATAAAGTGATGTACAAGTGAGAAACAAACCTAAAGGAGAAGGGTCAGGTTTCAGATAAAGGTTGGACGTTTTGAACTTTGGACAAAGTGACAGGTATCTTTGATTCTCCAGGTGCTGGCGCTTTTGTGACTGGGTTGGCATGGGCTTTTATATCAGCTATTCTTTCTTTAAATCTTTGCTGGAGGTACTTTTCTTCTTTGGAGTAACTTTTAGCAAAAGCAGACAGCAGCAAACACATTGCCATGGTGGTCCCTCCAACACAGAACAGGATGGCACCCGCCAGCTTGCACACATCAAGGGACCCATTAAACTGAACGGCACGGTTATCAACCACGACAAAATCATCCTCCCCGAGAGCTTCGATTTTTGGCGGCACGAGAAAACCAACGACAAGCACGGTCAAGCCTATCAGCATAAAAATCGTTCCGAGGATGAGTCCCACCTGTAAAACAGGAAATTTAATCATGAAGACAGCCTTTCAGTTAGCAAGCAGTACTGGAAAGCATTTAGGTTTTAGAGTCTGCAGCAACAGCTCTCAGTTCTAACAATACTGCTGTTTTTCTTTCAGGTCATACATGGCCTTACTAGAACTAGAAAATGTGGATAAACTATATTTTTGCAATCAATCCTTATATAAATCCAGGTGTACATTGGCATTTCTGGAAACAATGGCACATACATCTGTGAAAGCCTCTACACAGCATTTCATGTCCACACGGCCAGTCATAGAGAGGATCACAATTTAACTGCAGCTCTGTGTGATTAATTACTACTTTAGCTATAGGGTGGTGATTAGCACCACCCTTTCAGTCCTTGCTCATGGTCTATGCTGTACCCTTCACTTGTGTTTCTTTTCCTCCATAGAGTGTCATTCCCTTGCCAGGATGGAGGAGGTTGCTACAGCATGAGCCGATCACAAAGTATTTCTAGCACACTTTAACTGTTTGATTTTGAGGGGATGGCCCTACTTTGAGTGGAAGGGTTGGATCAGATCACCACCATGGTTATCTCAGTTACTCTCAGATTTTGTTAAGCTTCCTAACCTTAAGGAAAAGTCTTACTGCTTTCTCGATGGCTGCGTCACATGCTCCCAGTGTCACTGCTCTTAATCCACCATTGTTATTCCTAATAACTTGAAGAGATCATTGCAGGTGGGAACAGAGGTAAATTATCCCTTTGGTGTTACAGGCAGGGATACCAAGACAAGACTATTGACTTTGGATGTTTCAGTGACACGGCTCCTTGTAACAGAGAAACCAGAGCATCCAAAGACCCAATAATCTGATACACCTTGGTAAAAGAGCCATTCCCAGGAGGATGGTTGATCACTCATTTCATGGAAAACTGAGCAACAGAAGGTCTTTCTGGGCCAAAGTAACTAGTTACACATGAAAATCTCAACATGGAGGAGTTTCTGCCTACAGTTACCAGCAATGGGCAGTACCTTCCAGGACGTGGCGCTCCATCTGCTAGGCGATCTCTGGATCTGAAAATCATCCTCGTACTCCCAAATCGAGGCTGTGCAGTCCTCGTAGAACTGATGCAGGTAGGACCGAACCCCATAGCGCTGGTGACCTCCCTCAGTGCTGCCCTGCGCTTGCTTGGAGCCACAGATGTCAGCATAGGAGCTCATCCTTCCTACCTGCAACCAAGAGTTTCATTAAAAAAGACCCACCTCGTTAGTGATGCTGCAGAAGAGCAAACCTGCAAGTCTTCCAAACTGCCAGGTAAGGTTTTTTAATCTCTGTTTTTGCCTGAGCCTTTGAATTGTGGGACTAGGCACGGACAGAAGTCTAGCCATGCTGAAGCTGTATAAACCCTGTGCTTAAACATGGCTAAGTGAAAATAAAAAAGGTGAATGCTCCACCAACACGGTGACCTGCTTGCCAGGCAGAATGACACGCAAACACCAAGCCAGTGGCAAATTGTGGCTCCACAGGAGAAGTCTATGCCCAAGCTCACACTGACATGTTTTTAAACTAGAATTTTCCCTACCAGGAAAAAGGCTGACAGTGTTTCTATTCTTTCCTCTTCATCAAAACTCTGCTAATACACACACACACACACACAAATCCGTATTTAACTATGCAGGTCCCAGGCCTGAACAACCTTGCATTAAGTTTGATGCTACTGAATTCATTAAAGTATTACTAGCCCCTTAAAAAAATGCCTGAGGTCAATGCAGGTCAGCGTTATTTAAGAACTGATTTCTTTTTAAGGAGTTAAAAATAGTCTTTGTCCAGTGGGGACTGCTAATGAGTACTTGCACCAGAAAGTCACAACTCACTTTATACTAGCTTCACACAGTTCCCTAGATTACCAAACCATTGCAGTGAAGTTAATGGCAGCCAGCATAGCATGTTTCGAAGAGAAATCATGGAAAACTTCACGATTAAAAGAAAGAATAACAAAGTGATACTCAGTAAAAATGAGAAATGGCTTGACCTATAAAAATAGTATTCTGAAGCCTTTTCAATGTTGTGGAAGGAGGTAACTGCTGTCTGCATCCATTCTATAGATAGGCAAGGGAGAGAGGAATTGTGTGGGGAATTTGGCAAGAATCATCATAAATGAGTATAGTGTCTGGAACCGAACCCAGAAAATGTAATTTATCATAACTGCCTCAGCGCTCACGAACAGGCTTACTCAGCCAAAATGTACCTCAAGGATAGCACATAATGATAGTTTATGTCCGTACACCTGAAAGCGCTTTTGGTTCATTTTAAGCAAGCATTACATTTCCCACATCTCGAAGAGCAGGAAATAAAGCAGTCAACAAAAGCTCTACGGAAGAGCATTTTCTTTATCCTCACGCCAACCCCAGTCCCTTAAAGAAGTTATGTTTAATTCCCTGCCAGCTTGGGTTACTCGGGGAAGCACCCTTGGCACCAGGCACGGGGAGAAGGGGCAGGGTTTTCTCTGGCTGTAGGTGCCTTCGTGAGGTCAAGGCTCCAGAGAAGGGCCTGACCTGCTATGACAAGGTCTGCCACGACCAGCCAGTCTAGCCCCTTGAAGGTCATTTGTGCTGCAGTCAGTTTTAGAGCTTATTTCTTCAGGATTCTGGAAAACAAGTGAAGCTGCAACTGAATGCAAACCAGTAAGTCCCATATACTAAAATTATATATATAATCACATACATGTATATTATAAAGTTGGAAAAACTCAACATAAAGAGAGTTTTTTTCTCTCAATGAAGAGAGAGATAGAAAGGTTTGGTGTTTCTAATGCCTTGATGAGGAATTCACCTGTGAGAATGATAGAGCCTGGAATCACACAGCCTCTTTACCAATTTAAAATAGGAGTAGATGCTTGTGGTCAGGAATATGAGCCAACTGCTAAGAGCCTGTGAAACTGAACATGAATCAAAACAAAAGAATGATCTTTTGGTCAAGAGTAGTTGGAGCATCAAGTAGAATCACCCTTTAAAATGAAAGGGGGGGGGGAGGGAAAAAAAAAAAAAAAGTAGATGTTGCCAGCATCCTTAACTCTTTTCAAGGACTCCATCATGTTACTCCTACTGCACATACTTTTTTTTTTTTTTTTTTTTTGGAAGACTCCTGCACTTATGATGATGAATAATCTCCCACTTTGCGTCCCTTGGAGATGAGGGAGGCAGGCTTCCCACCCCTGGATGGCTCATTGAAGCAGCCTGGTAATTTAGCTCGAGTCTGTCTCTTCTCTCAGCTGCAGCAGAGCCAGTGCTGTGGTTCTGGCTATACAGGAACGAGGCAGAGGAAATGAAACAGTCGTGAGAAAACGGTTCTCCATAAATATGAGGGAAACGTGTGTCACAGCGTCAGCTTATACAGGATGAATAAATATTGCAGTAGCTACATCCTTAGAGTGTTGATGTGTATTTGTTTCACCTTTCTGGCTGAGAAACTGAAAGCTCAAATGTTGGGAAACTTTCACTGAAAGGAGAGAATCGCTGCCACCCAGATCTGCATTATGTATGAGCTCAAAAGAGGCATGTTGGCCCCGGAAAGTGCTTTATCTTCGGAAGTTTTCTGCCACTGAAGCCGGAGATGCCTGGGAACATGTGGGATGCAGGATCACAGCTTCCGAGTGCAGAGTAGTGCTCCCCTGGCAACTTTAGTTTCCATGGCAAAAGCTGCCCTCTGTTTACCTTGAGCTTTACTATTCTCCACTGACCCAGAGAGATGTGACCCGCCTGGCAAACAGGCAGGCGGGAGAGGCGAGCACGACCCGAGAAAAACTACCCCAAAAAGCGAGACTGGGAGCTCTGCGGAGCGCAGGCGACGGGCGGCCAAGGGCAGGACGCGGGGAACGCCGCCCTGGGCACTCCGTGTCCCCCACCGCCGTCCCCGACACCCCGCGTCCCCCACCGCCTTGCCCGCACCGACCCCCCCGCGCAGGGTCGC